CGTGCCCGGGTTGTGGGCTCCATTCCCACTGGGGGGCGTGCAGGAGGCAGCCAGTCGATGATTCTCATCATTGATGTTTCTATCTCTCTCTCCCTCTCCCTTCCTCTCTGAAATCAATAAAAAATATATATATATATTTAAAAAAGAAAGAAAATGAAAAACCAACACCATTTTTTAAAAAGATGCATTCTAGGCACTGGAGATAGAATGACAAACAGAACGACAAGATTCCTAGTGGGGAAAACAGACCCATAGGGGCTGAGAAGGTAAGTGAAAAAGGGGATGGCAGTGGACAATTATGTCTTCTGGATGAATAAAACTTTTATGATTAATAAGCAATCCTCTATTTCTAATGATGCTTCTTTTTTTAAGTTGGCTTTGTCTGATAGTAGTATAGATATAACAACTTTATTTCAGTTACTGTTTAGAAGATACATCTTTTTCCATCTTTGCACCTTCAACCTTTTTCGTTATTATACTTAGCTTATGTTTCTTGTAAGCAGCATGCCACTGAAATTATTTTTATACAGATTGACACTCTTTGGCTTTTAATAGAAGTATTTATTCCATTCAAATTTAAATTAATTATTGCTATATCAATATCTAATATCTTCCTATTTACTGTTTTTCCCACCTGAACTATATTATTTTTTCTTTACTTTCTTGTCTACTTTGGATTGATTAAATATTTTTTATTCCTTTTCCCTCCTCTATTTGCTTGTTAATTATACATTATCTTCCTGTTCTTTTAGTGCATACCCTACATACTACAGCAAACGTCCTCAACTTACTATAAACCAATGTCTATTAGTCCACTCTATCTTAAGACCCTCTCACTCCATTTAACTCCATCCAACTTATGTGCTATTGCTTTCATGTACTTTAATTCTAGAGAGAGAGACACATCCCCTAACATTTACAGAACTCAGAGAAGGAGTACAAATGGAGGCCCACACATGGTATATCTAAATAGTTAAAAGTATAAATCAAACCAACAAATCACTGAATTAAATGTGTGCTATTCACCAATAATTCTTCATGACAATTTGGAAGGCCAAATTTAAATTTAAGTTAAAATTTAGAACTCTTCTGCCAGTGACCCAAATGTTTGTCAATAGCAGAATAGATACAGAAGTCAGGCTATTTTTATATAATTGAATACTAAACAGCAATGAGGATAAATAACTATTGCTACATATATAACATCAATGCATCTCACAAACATAATGCTGACTGAAGCCAGATCAAAAGGATCCATGCAGTATGTGTACATTTGTATAAAAGAGTGCAAAAAAAGACTAAACCAACCTGTGGTCAGTACTGGTTACAGGAGGGTAAAAATGTAGGAAAGTGCAAGAGAGGGGCTTGCTGGCAGTGTTCTATTTCATGACCTGGGTGTGGTTCCATGGGTATGTTCAGTTTGTTATAATTCATCAAGCTTATGATTTTCTGTATGATATTATACTTAAAAAACAAGTTTACTAAAAACAAAACAAACACCAATGAATCCACAATGCTACTTTTTTTTTAATCTTTAAATTCTTTATTAGTTAAGGAATTACAAATGTGTCCTCATTCCCCCCCATTAACCCCCATCCTCTCCCCCCCGCTACCCCCCCCCCCTACTCATGCTCCCATCCCCCTGTTGTCCATGTCCATTGGTTTGGCTTATATGCACGCATACAAGTCCTTTGGTTGATCTCTTCCCCTTACCCCCACGCTCCCCTACTTTCCCTCTGGGGATTGACAGTCTGATTGCTGTTTCTCTGTCTTTGGATCTGTCCCTGTACATCAGTCTATGTTGTTCTCTATAGTCCACAAATGAGATCATGTGGTATTTATCTTTCTCTGACTGGCTTATTTCACTTAGCATAATGCTCTCCAGTTCCATCCAAGCAGCTTGGATGGAACCACAATGCTACTTTTTTTTTTTTTTTAAATATATTTTATTGATTTTTCACAGAGAGGAAGGGAGAGAGATAGAGAGCCAGAAACATCGATGAGAGAGAAACATCGATCAGCTGCCTCCTGCACATCTCCCACTGGGGATGTGCCCGCAACCCAGGTACATGCCCTTGACCGGAATCGAACCTGGGACCTTTCAGTCCGCAGGCCAACGTTCTATCCACTGAGCCAAACCGGTTTCGGCCACAATGCTACTTTTAAAAGATAAAAAGAGCCCTGACCGGTTTGGCTCAGTGGATAGAGCTTTGGCCTGCAGACTGAAGGGTCCCGGGTTCGATTCCGGTCAGGGGCATGTACCTTGGTTGCGGGCTCATCCCCGGTGCGGGGTGTGCAGGAGGCAGCTGATCGAAGGCTCACCTCTTTTTGAAAAGCATTATGTTTGTATCTCATCGATGTTTCTAGCTCTCTATCCCTCTCCCTTCCTCTCTGTGAAAAAATCAATAAAATATATTTTTTTAAAAAAAAAGATAAAAAGAGAAAGACTTCTTTGTCCATCCTTGAAAGAGACTAGAACATCAACTCCTTAATCTGAAAAATGGCAACTAAAGAGGGAATCCTAAGCAATAAAATTAGAAAATCATAGTGAGTAAACCCTAATGAAAATACCTGATCCAGGCAAAGATGATTGTGCTAGTTACCTATCGCTTTAAAACAGATCACCCCAAAGTGTAGCAGCTTAAAACAGCAAATATTTATTATCTCACAGTTTCTGTGGATGAGGAAGCTGGGTCTGGCCTAATGGGTGCTCTTGGTTCAGGGTCTCCCACAAGGTTGCAGTCAAGGTGTCAGCAGTCATCTCAAGGCTTATAGGAGGAGGGTCGGCTCCCAAGTTCATTCATGTGGTTGTTAGCAGATTTCAGCTTGTTGCTGGCTATTTGCCAGAGCCATCAGTTACTTGACACATGGACATCTCCAAAAGGCATCTCTGAAGATGGCAGTCGGCTTCCTTAGGAGCTAGCAAGTGAGTGAGAGTAAAAGAAGGAATCCAAGATAGAATGCACATTTTTTTTTTTTTTTTGGTAGCTTACTCTTGAAGTAACATCCTATAACCAATGATGCATTCTTTTCATGGGAGTAAGTCATTAGTCTAGCCTACTCTCAGGGGGATACATGGGTGTATCCACTAGGAGGTGGGGATCACTGGGAGCCTCACAGAGGGTGCTACCATTTTCATCTTTGGATGAAAGCCATTAGATGAAAGGTTGGTGGGGAACTTTATAAAAAGGCACCAGGCTGTCACCACCTGAATGCACTCCTCAATCTTACAATCACTAAACTAGGGACAACCAGATATTATTTGCCTTCTATGGTGAGGCAACCTGAAGTACACAGCATCACCTAGTGAATTTATACTTTTCAAAAAGAGGTGAGCCTGAATATAATCAAGCCATAGCAACACATCCAATTCATAAGAAATATGGATGATAGAAGAATAAGTTAAATGACCCCCTGAGGTACAAATCTAGATTGTGGAAACTTCTACAGGACAATGGATCTATTTCTTCAGTAAGTCAATTGCATGAAAAAAGGTGAGGAATTGCTCTATATTAAAAAATCTTTGAGAGACCAAATGCAGTCCTAATCTTGCATGGATCCTGATTGAAACAGACAAACTGGAAAAAGATAGTTTTGAGACAACAAGGGGACTTCAAATATGGATAAATAGATGGTAGTAAGGAATTATCATTTTTCTTGGTATAATAATGGCAGTGTGGCTATGAAAGAAGATGCCGATACTTTCTGAGATGCACACCAAAGTATGTAAGGGTAATATCTTAGACCCGAAGCCTAAGATTTGCTTTAAAATAGTTCAGCATCGACAGCAAACACAACAATAGGAATAGATGAGATGAGTGTGGTAAAATCTTAAGTGTTGAATGTAGTTCAAACAGTTTCACAATAAAATAGGAAGAACAATGTCAGGACTAGATGATTTTATAACTGAGTTCTGGCTAGACTTTAAAGATCTAGCTTTAAAATATTTCTAATGTTATTTGAAAGGGTATGGCCTCAAATAAAAAGATGAAAACTCCCCAATTCATTTTATTTAATTAATTTTTTAATCCTCACCCGAGAATATTTTTCCATTGATTTTTAGGGAGAGTAGAAGAGAGAGGGAGAGACAGAGAGAAGCATCAATGTGAGAGAAACACATCAACTGGTTGCCTCCTGTATGAGCCCCAACCAGGGCCTGGGCCAGGTACATGCCCTTGGCCGGAATCAAACCTGGGACCCTTTGGTCTGCAGGCCAACATTTTATCCACTGAGTCAAACCGGCAAGGGCCCCAATTCATTTTATGAAGGTAGCACAACTTGTAAACCTTTTTTGGTGAAGTATAACATGCATGATAAAACTTTACAGTTGTTAAATGTATGGCTTGAGGAATTTTTGCACACTGAACATACCTGAGTAGATAGATTTTTCTTTAAATATATTTTATTGATTTTTTACAGAGAGGAAGGGAGAGAGACAGAGAGTTAGAAACATCGATGAGAGCGAAACATCAATCAGCTGCCTCCTGCACATCTCCCACTGGGGATGTGCCCGCAACCCAGGTAGATGCCCTTGACTGGAATCGAACCTGGGACCTTTCAGTCCGCAAGCCGATGCTCTATCCACTGAGCCAAACCGGTTTCGGCATGAGTAGATAGATTTTAAGAACCCAGACTATTGTGAGAACCCAGAAACCTCCCTCAGACCAATTGCTAGACAGTATCTTCTGCTGAGGACATCCACTATGCTGAAGCCAAAATCTGATTTTTAAAAGTGGTGCAAAAAAATGAACATCACAGAATAATTTCTTATATAGAGGTGAATTTTTAAAATATCTCTCTATATAAAAAGCTAATATGCAAAGTGTCCCCTTGGGAATTCGACCAGGAGACTGGGAGTTCGATTGCTCGCTATGACGTCCACTGACCACCAGGGGATGGCACAGAACAAAGGAAGACCTCAGCCGGCAGCCAGGAGGCCCCGATCAGCCCTGATTGCTGGCCATGGGCCCTACCCATGCATGAATTTTGTGCACTGGGCTTCTAGTTAGGAAATAGAATTTAGAAATATATTTTAATATTGACACAATCGCAATCACATATTATGAAGAATTTAATTGCTCACCCCTGTTACTTGCACTCCCTCTGGGTTCTTGCTAATGTATGTATTTGCTAGTAGTTTTTTCAGGAAGGGGCAGTAAACAGTTTTTGCTCTTCAATGTTTTAACAAGAATTTACTTTACTCTTAGTTTTTTTTAAAGAGAGTTGGCTGGCTAGTGAATTCCAGATCGCCAATTATTTCCCTCAGGATGTTGAGTATATAAAACCTTCACCTTCTGACTTCTGCTGTTAGTGAGAGTTTCACCATCATTTTGTCATTTGTTTGTCATCCATCTTCTCTCTTTTGTAGATTATATTTTCTTTTTTTTTTTTTGCTAAATGCTCTTCGGTTCTGCTACTGCATTTCTAAGTATAGATTTATTTTCTTGCTCATCACTCAGTGAGATTTTTCAATGCAAGTTTTCATGTGTTTCTTCATTTCTAGAAAACGATCAGTCATTTTTTTAAGTGTCATCTTTTCTCCATTCTCCTTATTTCCTTCTGCAATTTCCCTTGGATATATTTCTGAACTTCTCATTCTACTTAGACTCCATTACCCTCAACTTCTTTTATAACTTCCTCCTTTATCTTACTGTGCTGTGATCTGGAAACTTCTTTCTCAGTGCTTCCTGCCAACCCTAGAAGGTCAGCTTGGATCTTTTACTCCATATTTGTGGTTTAATTTTAGACCTTATGTGCACATCATATAGAATCAGGTCCCATGGTCCATTGGTGCATCTGCTTCTTAAATTTTTGTGTGTAAATTCAAAATTCTTAAAAGCAAAATCTGCATCCAAAATATTTTCAATAAACTATATATTTCACTTAAGAAGAAGTTAAATTTGGTGGAAAATCAATTTTGGGAAAAACGACCAAAGAACTACGAACTAGTGGGGGGAAAATAACACCAGGCATCTCCTTGCTCTTTACAAACCTCTTCTCACTGTTGTACTGTATTTTTGCAAATACATCTGAAGTTTTGCGTGTCCACTTTGTGATCCCTTTGTAATATTTCCACTCCAGATCCCTTAGGTCCATGAATTGTTTTTCTGAAAAGAACCAGATGTTCAAAGAATCACATGGTGTCATTTAACCTTCAGCGATTCAGAGGTGTTTCATGACAGAATAAACCTTTGATTAATTTGAGTCTCCTCCCTTCTTGTTGAAAGCCTTTTCTGAATCTGTATAAACTAAGGGGGAACCTATGGTGTCCACCTCATGTATTGGGTGGGTCTGGCTAGCAGGGCTGGAGAGGAACCTGCAGGGCCACAACAGGTAAAGTAAGTGTCTCATTTGGTGCTTGGAAATGAAGAATGTGCAAGTACAGAGACCTGCAGAGCACTGAGGTCAACAGGGGGCAGGAGCCTAACAAGTGGTGAAAACAAGGAGGAAGATTTAGCAGAAGTATATACATTGCTGGTGTCACTTCTTCCAAGATGCTGGTATAAGCCCTGAGTACAGTGTCTTAGCTAGAATTTGGCTCTTTTCCCTTCTCTTTCAGGACCTACCAGTGTGGACAGTGATTAGTAGTTGCAATTTTTTCAAGAACCCAGTGAACCACAACCAAGATATACTGCATATTCCCCTACTCAGCAGCCATTTCTCTTTCCCTTCCCTTCAATTCTTTTCATGACTAAATAAATTGTAAACTTGAAAAAAAAAAAAAAAAAAAAAAGCAAGGCCCAAGGAAGGGGCTTGAATGTAAAACCAGAGGCCAAAGAGCCAAGATGAGTTTGAGGAGTTTAAAGAGAATAATTGATACAACAAACAAGCAGGTCTATTTCTCGTGGGTAATTTTACCATCCTTCCTGTTTGGTGATATTTGAGAAGGTTACCTATGGCCCAGGTACCACCCCTGCCCCAATCAAACCTCCATCCTGGGAAGGGCCTGGGTTTCCCAGGGTTTACCTGGTGGGAAGTCTCTATCTCTATCTCTATCTCTATCTCTATCTCTATCTCTATCTCTATCTCTATCTCTATCTCTATCTATCTCTATCTATCTTTATACTAGAGGCCTGGTGCACAGATTCGTGCACTGGGGGTTCCCAAGGCCCAGCCTGAGCCCTCGCACAGTCCGGGACCCCTCGGGAGATGTCCACCTGCTGGCTTAGGCCCGATCCTGGGTATTAGGGCTAAGCTGGCAATCAGATATCTCTCTTGTAGTCCCAGACCCCTCGCTCCTTACCGCCCGCCTGGGTGCAGGTCCTGTGAGCCCAGCTTCTGGCTGAGCGGTGCTCACCCTGTGGGAGCACACTGACCACCAGGGGGAAGCTCCTGTGTCGAGCATCTGCCCCCTGGTGGTCAGTGCACATCATAGCGGCTGGTCGTTCTGCCGTTCAGTCAATTTGTATATTAGGGTTTTATTATATAGGATCCTGTTCATGCCTGCAGTGGGAGACTGGAGCCAGGGACTGTTCCTTGAGCCATGGTGTTCAACAGTCTGTCCCCAGGATCAGTTGCCAAATTTCAGGGAGTTTGACAAATCTTGGCAGGGTTGGCATAGCAAGAACTGATGATAGAAGAAAGGACAGGAAAGGAATATTTGGCAAAAGAAGGCCATAGAATTGATTATTTTGATTACTAAAGAGCTTTATGTTGTGATCTGTGGTAGACACTATAGGTTAGGTCACTCCAGACCCATTACAATCTTCTTCTGCCTTCCTCTACTATAGGGGATGGAAAGATCAGAATTCTATTCACCAGCCTTCCTTGAAGTAAGGGTTACTATTGGCACAGGTCTGGACAATGAAATGCAAGGAGAAGTCACCTTAGGATGTGTGTTCTGAGGAGCTTTGCTTCCTACTCAAAGAGGATCAAACTAGCCAAGGTGGGCCTTTGTCCCATCTCCCTCTTCCAGCCTGGAATGTGGTCATAGTTCCTGGAACGGAAGGAAGCATATCTTGGCCATGAAGACAAAAGCCATACAGAAAAAGATGGTGGAGCCTGAAGCCTCAATGACATCAAAACACTATTCCCACCCTTGTTTGCCCACCTCCAGACTTCTAATTACATAGGAAAAATAACCCCTATTTTTTGGTCACATTCCTAACCTATAGGGTTTAGCCTGAGCAAGAGTTGCTCATAAGCTAGGAGAAGAAAAATGGCAGCACCACTCCCTTTACCTCCTCTAGTGCTTGGTGCTAGTAAAGATATGTTCAGTACTATCCTTTGGTACCAGGAGTCTTAAAATTTTCCTGGACTGAGTAGACTTCAGGCACTAGCTGGCTGATGAAATGATAGTAATATTGGGCAATGTAGGACATTAAAAGGTGAAATGTTGCAATATCAAGTAAACCTAAGGAATTACTGGATATTTCTCATATGGATGCCTATCTGGCTTCGTGCATATTCCTTGAATAGACAGGACATGCCTCAGAAATTTTATAGCTAGGATCTCAAAAAATGAGGTCATGGAGGCAGAGAAGAGACTGAGTGAGTCAGAGTGTAGAAGGGCACATGAGAGACCTCCAGGGTTAGATAGACCACAGGCAATCCATGCATTAGGAAGGAAGGACAATTCAGCCCCTGTGGGTGGCAAAGCCATAAATGTTCAAGACCCATCAAACATCCAAAGTCTTCAGCACTTCTTCAGTAGGCTTTTTTGCCTGTTATTATTGATCCTAGCACTTTCCTGGCATTTTCCTCTCTGGTCCCAAACTTTAGCTGTGCAGTTTTGTGGATTATGTAGGCCATTCCACAATCGTCTTAATTTCTACTTCTGCCTGAAATCCAACACACTTGTATGATTCTATCAAAGGAATTTGAAACCTGTGTCAGGATATCAATGTAGGGAATGAGAGCAAAGATTCTTCCAGTATCTTGGACCAAATACTGTATTGGTCAGTGTGATTGGTCTACTCCCTTAACTTTGTTCCCATCTTTCCCACTACTTTTAATATAAAAGTTGTGATGTCATAATATTTGCTGTGCAAAGGGTTTTATCTTGGGTCAAGAAGCTATTTTAGAAAAGTTTGAATATTTTATATCATTAGTTTAATCTATTTTTTATAGCTACACAGAATAACAAAATATGACTTTCCTCAAATTACATAGGAAAAATGGAGACCTTAGGAATATTCTCTTCTCTTTATAACTTACCAACATATGTTTTATGACATATTATTGACTTTCTCTGTATGGTCTTTGGACTTTTATGGGTACTTACTTACTAAAGTATCAGAACTGGAGAGTTTCCTTCTCTTTGTAGAGATGTAGCAATAGGAAAGTATAAAGGTTCATGAAAAAATCTTAAAAAAAACAACCCTCAATTGAAGGAAAATCAAGATATTTAAGAACGATAAGTCATTATTCAGTAAATACTTGACTAACTTCATGAAACAATAAACAAATAGTTATGGGTGCTTTAGAGGTCAAGTTGTACTGGCTCATTTTAGAAAAGTAAGTTTAAATACACCTTTTTGGGAACGAGTCTGGGACTTGACCCTGGGATGTTTGCTAGAGCTCTGCATTTCCCACTGCTTTGACATGTAGCAGAGCACCAGAACGCTAATATTCCCATCGATCAATATTTGACACCTGCAACTCTAGAAATCTAGGTAAATTTTCTAGTAAGATTTCCACTCTTTTTCTCCCACCATGTTTAGAGTACCTGGTTCAATTATTGAGTATTCAGTAATTCTATCTTCAAATAAAAACTTGTCTGCCTTCACCTTGGAAATGCTTATCTTGGATAAATTTCTGGCACTTGAAAACTTCTTCTGTGTGCCTGAAAGGTCGGTTTCACTGAGGATAATCTCATAGGGAAAAGTGTGCAAGGGAGGAGGGATCCCATAGTAAGCAAGTCTCTCCTGGGATTTTTCCAGCCTGTCTACTTGAGAGGGTGAGCCGGTCAGTAAGCTGCGGTGTAGGAGTTCAGTCATTGATGGTGGCTTCTCCTTGTCTTTTCTAACCACAGATTGGGAATCTTCTCCCAAATCAGTTCTGCTAGTGGGTGCCATGGCATTCAGGGCTTGACTAAGTGTTCTTCGTGCTTCACTTGGTGAAATAGCAAAAGTTTTTAGGTGATTTGATTTTTTGCTCTCCTTATGAAAATTCTCAGCCAGTGCATATAATTCTGGCAGCTATGGGAAAAAAGTGGGAAGTCATGAGATTGATGAGTGGTGATTGCCTGGCAGATCCGCAAACCCTAAAACAAAGGGCATAACAAGTAACCATGCAAACAGAAGCATCTGTCTTTGGGAGATATTGTTGCCTAGCTAAGCCAAGGCAGTGGTGGCAATGCGGAACAGAGACTAGATGGACAAGTCTCAGATTCATTCCCCCAGAGAGGTAGTGTTTAGACACATCACTGAAAGGCTGCATTGCAAAATGAGCCTGGTTTCCAAAGTCTTTAAGATCTTTCCAACTCTACAATTCTGTGAGTTACCGTGGAGAGATGCAGCTGTAGGGGGGTTGCAAAGTCTGTTTTGGGTAAGGCTAGATTCCTTTGAAAGAAGAAAGGGAGCCAGATCATCTAGATATCAAAGCTTCATCCTGGTGACCGAGGGGCTTGGCATATTTAGGAACACTGTGCGGATGAAGCTGTAATTGACCCTTTTAACTGGAATATTTTACCAAAGCCAATGGTACATTTGTGGAGTGTTTGGGAAGAATTGTTGGCAGAAAAGACAATAAATGTCCCCTCAGAGTCCCCCTTCTCTATCTAAAATCCTGTATTAAAGGGATAAAATTTTATTTGCTAGAGCATTCTGCCTGCGAATCCCATTATTCCCAAGAAGTTTCTTAGGTCATTGAATTGGAAGGGCAAAAAGGCCAAAGTGAGAGCCCAAACGTGTGTCATTTAGCCCAGTGCAGTTTCCCTTCAATTCTAGTCAAGAGCAACAAATAGGAAGTGGGCTGAGTTGGTCAATGGCTCTTTCAAACGCATTACCATTAGCACAAACACAAGTCAGCACTCAGGATCCCCTGCCCACAGAGGAGCTGTATTTTGCTGTGCCAAGGAAGGCTAAGTCACAGAAGTGAAATGTTTGTGTTCTCTTTGCCCCCCACATGGCATGCCACTGAGTACTTAATAGTTCTTCTTATAATTCTCGAAAGCACAGTTTCCTGTGCATATTATAGCATTAGGGGGACATACCGAACACCTGGGAAACTCGGCCTCCACATCATCATTACTTGGATCAGTGTCGCTATTGGTGAACATTGTGCTGGGATTTTACTCTCTAATTCCTAAAAAATCAATATGAAGAAAGATGAAATGAAAGAGCAAAAGTCAGATAAAATACAAAGGGTAACACTTTTAAAAAAACACATATTTTTATTGATTTCAGAGAGCAAGGGAGAGGGGAGAGAGAGATAAAAACATCAATGATGAGAGAGAATCATTGATCAGCTGCCTCCTGTATGCCTCCTACTAGAGATCGAGCCTGCAATCCGAGCATGTGCCCTTGACCGGAATTGAACCCGGGACACTTCAGTCCGCAGGCCAAAGCTCTATCAGCTGAACCAAACCAGCTAGGCCAGGGAAGCACTTTTTAAATCTTCTAAACTTTGTAAGTGTGACACTTTAAATTTTATAGCATTACAATTTTTCTTTTGTTTTCTCCTAACTCCAGGTCTGCCAAATGAATCATGTTTCAATGAAATATTTTCTGTGAAACACTTCAAATTCTTATATGACATATATGTTCAGGCATTTATTACTAGTTCAAAGAATCCCATATAGATTTTTGTTTGTTTTACATATTTTTGATTTTCCAGATCATCTAAAGAAAAACTTACACTTCTTTACCCAAGAAAAGTATTTTTTTAATTGGAAAAAAACGCTAATAATAACAATAATTAATATTTTGAAATTATTTGCTTTGGGCCACAAATGATTGCAGGCATTTTACAGATGGAATTTTGTTTAATCCAGTGGTTCTCAACCTGTGGGTCGAGACCCCTTTGGGGGTCGAACGACCCTTTCACAGGGGTCGCCTAAGACCATCGGAAAACACATTTATAATTACATATTGTTTTTGTGGTTAATCACTATGCTTTATTTATGTTCAATTTGTAACAATGAAATTGGGGGTCACCACAACATGAGGAACTGTATTAAAGGGTTGCGGCATTAGGAAGGTTGAGAACCACTGGTGTGATCCCTTTTTGAGGGGTTAAAAATGGCCATAAAATCTATACAATTGGTCTCATCAATAAGTGGCAGCGAAGTCCTCTCCCACACTTGACTCTGGGCTGGTATTATGCTTGCCTTTACCTCTGTACTTGCTATTTTTTATATTCTCATAATCTAATCTTTAGTATAACAACATTGAGCTTCTACCTTGACTGATGAACCAAAATTGAAATCTTGAAGACAACAGTGAGTTCTTAATAATCAATTCTAATGCAGTTTTCACAGCCTTCATATTTATCCACCTTAACTCTTAACCTTTCATTTTGAAATTGATTTTTAAAAAGTATCTTCTCTAGTCTTTCCAAACTCATTGCAATGATTCTGATAAGAAGCCTAACTGACCTCATCTTTGAACTGCTACAAAGATCGCTTACCGGTTTTCTTGCCTGTATGTTGTTGTTGTTAGTAGTAGTAGTAACAGCAGCAGTAGTAGTAATCTATCCTAAATCACCTCTTTACTCAGCCATTCATTAGTTCATTCTTCAAACTTGGCTCTTTATTCCTTTTAGGATAAGATGTAAATTTCTTGACCAGACTTATAAAGACTATTCACAATTTGCTTCTAAACATTCCAAACATTTACAGATCCTATTTCTATGTCACCACAAGGCCACACATGTTCTCTCTGTTTCAGCCAGTGGGGGCAATTCATTTTTTTTCTGAAACTATCTTCTGTGCTCATATGCATTCTTCATCGCATCTGTGTTCACTCTGACCCCCCACTTAATCAAGCAGAATGTTTATTTAATCTCCCTTTTATGTCAGTCTAAGTAAGAACATAATAGAACTAAAGAGAAATGGGAATAAGCATAATGTTAATTAGCTATGGTGGCAAACAAAAGCAAAATTGGAACAGGAAATAGAAATAAGGTGGCTAGGAAAATAATGTTTTTTTAAAAAAATAAATGGTGTTGGGACAATTGGATATCTACGTGTAGAAGAGTGAAGTTTGACTCCTACCCTAATCCATACACAGATTAACTTAAAATGTATCCTAGACCACAATAGAAGAGTTAAAACTAAAAAAAACCCTCCTAGAACAGTGGTTCTCAACCTTCCTAATGCAGCGACCCTTTAATACAGTTCCTCATGTTGTGGTGACCCCCAATTTCATTGTTACAAATTGAACATAATTAAAGCATAGTGATTAATCACAAAACAATATGTAATTATATATGTGTTTTCTGATGGTCTTAGGCGACCCCTGTGAAAGGATCGTTCGACCCCCAAAGGGGTCGCGACCCACAGGTTGAGAACCGCTGTCCTAGAAGAAAACATAGGAATAAACTTTCATGATCTGGCTTAGGCAAGGATTTTTTGGATATACATCCGAAAACAGAAGCAAAAAGAATAAATACATAAACTGGGTTTCACCAAATTAAACTTCTGTGCTTTAAAGGACACCATGAAGAAAGTGAAAATGACAATACACGGAATGGGAGAAAATATTTACAGGCCATATATCTGACAAGGGACTCGTATTCAAACAGACAAAGGACACTTACAGCTCGACAGTAAAAATACAAATAAATACGTTTAAAAATGGGCAAAGGGTTTGAATAGAGATTTCGCCAAGAAGATACACAAATGGCCAATAAAACATGAAAAGGTGCTCAACACCATTAGCTATCATGAAAATGCAAATTTAAGCAACAGGGGGGTATCATTCCACTCTCCCTAGGATGGCTACAATAAAAACAGATTAATAATGTTTGTTGGCAAGGATCTAGAGAAATTGGTACCTTCATACATTACTAGTGGGAATAAAATATGGTGCAGTGACTTTGAAAAACAGTTTGGCAAGTCCTCAAAATGTCAAACACAGAGCTGCCATATAACCAGAGGATTCATTCCAAGGTATATATCTAAGAGAAATCACATGTCTACACAAAAACGTGTACATGACTGTTCATAGCAGCACTATTCATAACAGCCAAAAGGTGAAAACAACCCTGGTGCCTATCACCCGATGAATACTATTCAGTGATAAGAAATGAAGTATGTTGCAATATGATAAATCTTGGAAATTTATGCTAAGTAAAAGAAGCCATCCACAAAAGGCCAGATATTGTACGATTCCATTTATATGAAATATATAGGATTGGCAAGTCTATAGAGAGAGAAAGTAGATTAGTAGCTGCCAGGATCTGGGTGCATAAAGGAATGGGGAATGACTGCTAATTGTATGGGTTTCTTTTGGGAGTGATACAAAGGTCCTAAAATTGACTGTGCTGATGGTTAGTGGGTTGAACTATATATTTTGAGTGGGTGAGTTTTATGGTATATAAATTATTTCTCAATAAAAATGTTTAAAATGATTTATAGCTATCATTTAGAAAATGATAGCTATAAAGGTTGGGCTAAGGAGATATAACATTTCAATTGGATATCCCAAAGAGGAGAAAAACAAATTCCTGGAAAACATTTAAAATTAAAATTCAAGATTTTCCTGGAATTAAAGATTTTAATTTCTATATTGAAAGATCACACTCTCCATGGTTTCAGATATCCCTGGCCAACAGTAGTCCAAAAATAGTAAACGGAAAATTCCAGAAATAAACAACTCATGTGCTAAACTGCGTGCTGTTCTGAGTAGCGTGAAGAAACCTTGCGCTCTTCTGCTTGTCCCCATACGCTGGTCCTGGGGAAGGAGAGAGGAAGCTCTCTAGTATTTTTCCATCTCCTCCTCATTTGGATGCTCCTATTTTCCAAGGCTGTACGCTCTCAAGGCTGGATGTAGGGAGGAGGAGGAGAAAGGATGCCAGGCGTGGGGAGAGCAGAGCCAAGCCAGGGCCATGCATCTGTGGGAACGTGGTATGGAAGGAAGAAGGCACAGGAATGCAGGGAGAAGGCAGGGCTGTTAGTGGAGAAGGCCCCAAAGGAAGAGGGAGATTGTACAGGCACAGTCCTGACCAGCTGGGTCCAGCTTTCTGGGACCTACTGGAAGGAATGATGGTCTCCCAGCCACCATCTCATCTCTTGGCTCTGGCCTTTCCTGTCTCTCTCTCCAACTGCCCACTTCACCCCACCTCTCCTTGCCAAGCCCATACTGGCTTCCTTTTCACTTTTCGTGCTTTTCACTTCATTACGCCCACTATTCATCACTGCACTTACCACATGCTTAATAATCATCTGCTTATGTGGCCATCTCCTTCACGAATCTGTGTGCCTGGGAGCAGGGGCTGGGTTCCACCCATCCAGTAGCCTCATGGTCTAGGAGGGATCAGCTTCCTAGTGCTTAGTAAGTTTTGAGTAAATGAGTACCTGTCCATTGTGACATACGAACATCCTCAAAGTCACATAAACAGCTGTGTAACACTAAGGCCAGGGGATTATCTTCCTGCATGAGGGTAATGGGTAGAGAAAGTGGAGGATGGAAAGGTAATTTTTAAAAAAGTGAACATTAAATAGCCCAGCCAACATAGCTCAGTGATTGAGCGTCAATCTCTGAACCAGGAGGTCATGGTTCAATTCCTAGTCAGGGCACATGCCTGGATTGCAGGCTTGATCCTCAGTGTGAGGTGTGCAGGAAGCAGCTGATTAATGATTCTCTCTCATCATTGATGTTTCTGTCCCTCTTTCCCTCTCCCTCCCTATCTCTGGAATCAATAAAAATGTATTTTAAAAAACGAACATTAAATAGCTGAATTGTGAATATAATTTCTAATTCAGGTAGGTGTTTCTTCTATAGATAGGGGCAAGATGCAAAGGAGAAATTGAGGCAATTAGTCAGGAAGCAGACCTGTGCTCCCTGCATCTGCCCAGATGAACCCTTTGGGAGTGGACGGGGGTGGTGGGGGGCTGCACGGCCATGCTGACTCTCCAGGAGCCCAGCAGCCGTGCTCTGCACCATGCCCGGCTCTTAAATGGCTCCCCTTTGGAGGATTTTGTGGCAATCATGAAAAACTTCGCCAAAACAACCGCCTTAGGTGGCCGGTCAAAAGAAGGGCCATGCAAGACTTTCCTCTTCTTTTGTATCACTGAGGTGTCAAACGTAGTCTTTCAATTTGAAAACACTCTGGTTCAAAAGCATTGGGATAAAAATGACTGGTGGAACCGCCAAGTCGCCTGGCTCCTCAGGCTCAAGCAGTGGTGGCCGAATGGGGACCCCAGCCACCCAGGAAGCTAGTAAATGGAAATGGGGTCCCCGATATGTTTAGTATTTCAGAACACCTAAAGGAGATCAGCACTTAGAACTATAGCCGCCCGGTCCTGGCCTTTGAGTTGTCATCTCGGGATGGCAACCTGGGTATCTCATGCTGGTCAGAAAGCCTGAACACCACGAGGGCACAAATGGTCACTTCATACTGTCAGGCTCTTCCAGAGGCAAATTCTTTACAACCCTGGCACTCAGAGAGCAGAGCAGCAGCATGGGCTGCAGCATGGGCTGCCTGGGTGTGCACACCCCCGCCCAGAGCCCTGGAATCAGGGATGTGGGAACAGGATCCCCAGTGACTTACACCTTAAAGCTGGAGAAGTGGGTACTTCACAGTGATTCATTTGAGAGTTACTCGTTCCTGGAAGTAAAACCATGAAGTAACCTACGAAGGCCATTAACCATAAAAATAAAAATAAGGGTTGTAAGCTGGGTACAGCACTCTTGCCTTGGGGAATGTTGGATCCCAAGTCACCATTAGTAAGAATCCTGACTAAGCCTTCAACCAGGATTTCGCAGGGGAGCCAGGGAGGAAGTTGACCTCATCGCCTTACAGTTAACCCCCAACATGGGCTGAGCATCTCAAAGGAAGCAGAGGGCAGGGCAGACCTCCAGCCTGGCTCTCCCTGAGGTCTGGTGTGGTCCACCCAGGCTCCTCCTCCTCAATTAAGGCAGGTTTCTCTACACAGGAAGTCTCTCATCAGCGACTAAGAGAATATACTTTCTCTGTACGATAGTTTTTGTAGTACTGTAGTCATTGTAAAGAAATGCAACAAATTTCCCCCCAGATTTTAATATGGGACAATAACTCCGTAATTGTGTGGAGACTCATTTCCGTAAACTCTCTAATTGTGTGGAGACTCTTGCTTTGATGGACAATCTATGGGTAAACTACAATGTATCTAAGCTGGACGCTTTACTGTGTGTGCTCTTAACTCAGTGGTTCTCAACCTTGGCTGCACATTAGAATCACCTGGGAATCTTTTTAAAATCCTGATTTCTGGGCCTCATCCTCCGGAAATTCTGTTTCTTTGTTGTGGGGTGGGGCCACAACATTAGTAACAAAGAAACAGAATTTCTGGAGGATGAGGCCCAGAAATCAGGATTTTAAAAAGATTCCCAAGTGCTTCTAATGTGCGCCAAGGTTGAGAACCACTGTCTTTTTTTTTTTAAATATATTTTATTGATTCTTTACAGAGAGGAAGGGAGAGAGATAGAGAGTTAGAAACATCGATGAGAGAGAAACATCAATCAGCTGCCTCCTGCACATCTCCTACTAGGGATGTCCCCGCAACCAAGGTACATGCCCCCAACGGGAATCGAACCTGGGACCTTTCAGTCCGCAGGCCAAAGCTCTATCCAATGAGCCAAACCGGTTTCGGCAAGAGAACCACTGTCTTAACTCATCCCATTTCCCCACATTCTGAGCTTGTTCTACAGAAGGGAAGCAGGCTCAGAGAAGTGACCTCACCTGTGCCAGGTCACCAGGCTACAAAGTGGCAGAACCCACGGTTCAAATTCAGGGGTAGCTCCCTCCCAGACCTACACCTTTGCATGCCAGCCTCCCATGCACTGCACCAGGCCGCCGAACTTGTACTTCCTGCAGGCTGATGCCGTCTCTCCGGCCCCGGCCACACGGGGCACTGACGGTTCAAGTGCTTTGTAGGCTGTTAGATGGCAGGGAACGGCCAAGCGGCTTCACATCACAGGCTTTTGCATTTCCTGATCTCTGAGGCATCAAAACAAGAAGCTGTTTTTTTTTTAAAGGTATTTCCTGCTACGTGAAACCTAGAAATGTTAGGAACATCTGATCTTGTAGGGATTTTTCCAACCCCGCTCCACCCTTTCCTTGTTGAGAAAGAAGTCATCCTGTGGGTCCTGAGACAGAGGGCAGGGGCACGCTCTGGGGCAGTGTGGCCCAGCACCCCCACCATTTCACGGGATATTTAGCCACAGTGGCCCGAGCCGTCCAGTTAGCATCTTGATGTGGAAGAGTGGACTTTTAATTGTGATGATCCATTGGTTCTGGCTCTGCTTCTGCGTGAAGAACCCTCCACAAAGCTGATGGTCTACCTGTCACACAGGACGCCCGGGGTCTGGAGTGGGGCTTGGATGAATAGAACACAGAACACGTTATGGCTGCTAACGGCCGTAGGAATCATTTTGCCAAAATATTTATGATGTGCCTGGTGTTAGGTGAATAGCAAAGAAAATGGTAGAACTTGTGTCAAGAACCTTTCAATATTGTGCAAGTGACAAACCAAGATAAAAAACACCAATACTTATGGGGGAAAAAAAGAGGAACAAATGTAATAATATGAATAAAGATTTAATTAAAAAAACAAAAAAACAAAAACACACCAGTACAAGTTTTGCTAGTGTGGGTAGCCAAGAGGCGCAAAATCACGGCCCCATCGGGTTGGTCTGTTAATGGAGTCCCACCGATTTCACCTTAGCCTTCCTCATACAGGTCCCTCCCTCAGGTCCTGCTTGGTTTTGAGGTAGCTTCCTGTGCTCCGCCGCATCACACAGCCTTCTCCATGCTCCACAGGGCAGTCCGGCTGATACTTCCAAATGCACTTGTTTTGATGACTCCCTTTTAGAAACCACCAGCGGCTCCCAGCACCTACATTACGAGAGAAAGACCAACATCCCAGGCCTGCCTTGTTCGTCCTGTCTGCCGCCTTCTGTGCCTCACACTCTTCTGAATGCTCAGCTTCCTAAGTATATTTGCAATCCTCTTTAGTTTTGTTCATTCTCTTTCCCAAACCTCTGATGTCTCTTATGACTTGGCTCTTTAAAAGTGCACCATTTTGGTTCTCATTGTGACATGCAATGTGGCCTCGCTACTAGGAACATGGGGCTGGAGCCAGATGCCATGGGCTGTCATCGACTTGGCCACGTACTGTGTTACCTTAGCCAACTACTTTATGATGTGCTTTAGGCTCTCATCTACAAAAAAGAAGTCAGACCTACTTCACTGGGTTGTGAAGATTATGTTAATTAGAACAATCCTGGGCACGTAGCAAGTCTGCAATAAACGTTAGCTATTAGCAACAGCATATTTTCTTTATTGGTGTTTGACTTATTTGTCAACTCGAAGATCTTTGAGGTCAGAGACTGACGGTCTCTGGTCATCTGTAAAACCTCAGGGCGAGTGGAGAGCAGGTGCCCATGAATATGCCTGAAGTGAAGCGTTAAGCACCTTTTTGGAGGTGAACACAAAACTCGGAAGACCGACTTGAGAAAGCATTCCAGATAGGGAAGATGACACACGAGAATGTATGAAAGAAATCTGTGTGGGAGGCTTGAGAAGCAGCTTTGATGACATGGAAATGCTGAGGACGGTGGAGCCAAGAGCAACTGGAAATGTGACAAGGACTGCATGGAGAATACAGCAACTGAAATGCAACAGAATCAGGTGGAGAAGATTCTGGCCGCAGGGAGACTAGTTAGAAAAGTTATGGCAATTATTCATAAGAAGCTATAACAGTTACTATTCCCAAACCCATCTTCCTTAAAAAGAAAAGGCAATTTCATGATCACAAAGAGGCCACATTTTTTTATTGAAAACTCAAATCACTACATACATTCAGTATTGCACAAATTATAAGTGGGTTGACAATTATATTAATACAAACTCATGAGCATAAAGCAACTGCTCTAGGTTTTGGTGCAATTTGTGTCAGGTACTTTAGTAAATACGACAAACATCAAGGAACTCAGCTACTTCAATTCATAAGACTTGGCTTTCAAGCATATGGCATCTCATAAAACAATATGTCAAGCTCAGGAAAATTAAGTATTAAATTACAAAAGGAACACTGTTAAAAAGAAAAATTGGTGACAAAAATGTTGGGTTAAAATATTAAGATTTAAAATTTTTAGCACTTGGACTTAGGATCCAGAAAGTATATGCATCCTGGGAATTTCAGGAGAAGACTCCTGTGCTCTGCTACACTCACTACTACATTCCAAAAGGGTGCTCTGGGTTACCACGTCTTCCCTGAAGGTATAAACCACTGCTTCATACTTCAAAAGAAGTATGGTCATTCACATAGAGGGGTTTACAAATAAGATTCTTCTCACTCAAAA